TCTATTGACTTATTTCAAAATAAAAGGTCTTTAAATAATTGAAAAGCATTGAAGACAGTTAAGTCAATTGTTTAAAAAGCTGGATATACAGTAAAATTGGTAGGAGTTCTGGTTGATCATAATGCAGTTTGAGACAATAGATACAAATAAGGCATTTGATAAGCTCTGAAGTCTAAATATTTCTATTTTATCTGTACTATAAAGTGATGAATGCATATATATTTTCATTTAAAATAGGTTTAATTTCATCAAACTATTTCACTAAAAGTAATTGAAATGTAATCGAAAGTAATCGATGATTACATCCTAATTTTTGCTGTAATCGATTAAATTACGATTACATGTAATCGAAAATGTCTTCGATTACAGATTACTGTCGATTACTGGGAAACATGTAATCAATTACAATCGATTACGATTACAGATTACGATTACCCCATCCCTGATTAGTATATATGGTTTTATAAGTCTCTGCTTATATTTTGTAGAGCAATATATTCATATAATGGAAAGTCAGACTTGAAGAAGAAATTGATTTAATAAATAAAATGTCCATCAGTAAATACTTGATATTTGTTTTTATTGATATTATATTTTTAAAATTTCGGAAATGATTCCTTCACAGGAATGTATAATGTATGTAAAGGGGGAGGGGGGGGGTGTTCCGGGGGTTGGAACCCCCCTTTTTTGACGATCAATGCTTTTGAATGGGGACATATGGTTGGAACCCCCCGCCCCCTTTTTAAAAATGGCTGGATCCGCCCCCTAGTATTCATTGTGTTGACCAGCTATCATACACCCGTCTTGATTTTCATTATATTACACCCTGTTCACACGACACAACATCGGTTTGCGTTTACACAAATTTCGGATGAAATGGCCATGAATCCGGAGTCAAAACGCATGAGGTAGGTAGTTTGACATCCGCATTCAACAAGCATTAGATTTGAGCCTAGAATGAATATACGTGATGACGCAAATGCGTATTGAAATCCAGAGTATCAGTTCGTTTGCTTTCCACTTACTATTTCTTGCGCTGCGCAAGAAAACCTCATGCATGCATAGATATTAATTTCACTCGCGGACTGTGAACTTTCGCATTTCTTATCTAAGTTCAGGACACGGCAGTTAGAGCTGGACATGTGACGTTGAATCATGGTCATCATAAGTTAAGGTATTCTGACCTCTAGCTGTTTCTCTTTTCTTTTTCTTTTTGTTTGAGTGACTGTCCTATCATAAATTTTCAAAATACTAAGGAATTTCTTCCCAAGGAATAAAAAGATTACCTTAGATGTATTTGGCAATACCTTTGTTTCGAAATTTTGGGTCTTCAATGCTCTTCAACTTTGTACTTTATTCGGCCTTTTTAATTATTTTTTTATTCACTGATGAATCTTTGTAGACGAAATGCGCGTCTAGCGTACAACATTTTAATCCTGGTATCTATACATTTTTATATATCTACATAGGATACATATCTTCTTTTTTTTTTATATTAATTGGTTTTTTTGAGAGCATATTCTGGTATTTATTAATCTTCTTCAGAACTAAGTTTTTCCCATAGAATATTTGGATTGATTAAAGTAACTTCAGGAAATCCTTAAAATTTGAGATGTTTTTATAGACCGAAATAATTGTCAGTTTATAATAGTTCCCAATGTAACTGGTGTGTTACTCTCAAAACTAAAACACGAAACATTGTTATAAGTTGCATGCCACAGAGTTACACTTCACATGGAAATTGGACTTTCAATTTCTCTATACAACATCTACCGTGAGAACAGACGACAGCTTCAATAATTAGTATAAGAAATATTTGAAGCCATCAAGGAAACAAAATATGAAGATATGACAGACGAAATAAATGCATCCAGATTATTTTTAGCAAACTGAGTGCTTAAATCTATATTGCGATTGGTTTGTGCAATTTGCTTTAGACATTCGGTTCGCAGAAACTAAGAATTGCAATAGGATTGGGACTTTGTATGTATACATGTATTAAATACGAAGAAAAACTGATGTACACTCCCATGTAATAAATAAAATAGTCAAGCCTTATAAGGTAAATTCATATAGTAGCTGTATACATTTTTCTATTTCCAACTAAAGTACAACATCGCTTCTAATTGACTTGTGTAAGAATCTACAAACAATTACATATTTTCAATAAAGGTGTTTTAACATCATCGGTATATTATTCTATTCAGTCAATTATTTCAAATCTAAAGCCAAAAAGAAATTCAGCAACATATTTTGGTTTTCAGTCAGCGGTCTCGGGTTCACGTATTGCTTTTCTTTTTTTTAAAGAAAGCAACTTGTTTTCATCATGCCATCCGACATTTTCCCATGCTATGATTGAAATACAAAATATCAAATGATAAACGTTCAGAAATAATCAGTTTATTCTGGGACATTATATATCAATAAACTATTCCCAGGTTTATAGTCACAATGCACAACGTGACGCTATATTAAATACTACGCACACAACGCGTACAGGGACCGTCTCAAAGCATGAAGTATATAATTGCGTTTTCATTATACTTGATATTTAATAAACATTCACATTATTAAAACACATGTTTTGTCTAAAGGCAAATAGGTTCTAAACATATAAATGATTTTTTTACTGCAACCTAGTCATTATTGTTTTACTTTCCAATCTACAAATGAACTTTGATTGTTGAAATATAAAATGTCACGTGGTAGCCTATCCACAGAAGGACCGTATCAAAGACATAGATAACTACCTGTATAATTGATCGAAAATTTTCTAGACGTTCCGAGAATCTTCATTCTGAGGATATCGATTGACCCATAGACACTTCCAAAACTCACCAATATATAAGCATGAACCCCTCAGGGGGTTCACGCAAAAGGGATTTTTAACTTAAGTAACTGAAAATGATTTTCAAGCCTCTCAAATATCCACTTGGTGTTTGTTAATACTTTGCAATTTTACTGCAACCCAACAGAAATGAAAACATTTTGTCAAGGATTTCTCAGCTGCTACGAAGAGAATAATTTGCTATACTGTCTGAAGCTTTCTGATTTTTAGTTGTAGTATGTAAGCAGTTTTTTAGTCTGTCGTATACCCAATGAAAATATGAAGGGATATGGAGTAAATGTACATGAGACAATATTAATATCAATACATGGTAAAACCCCCAAAAATGAACGTTTTTATTGTTGTCATTCATCTTCAAGTCACCATGAGGCATTCAACAATGAGCAATATTCCTCATAACTGGTAATAAGTTCGAGTTGGGCCCCTCGCATCGGTTTAAACAGAATTCGTTGTTAAATATCATACAAAGCTACATCCATATTTTTATGTCTGTTTGTTGATACTTTAAAATTTCACCAAAACCGAAAAGAAATGACAACATTTTGTCGAGGATTTCTCAACCTTTACTGAGAGGAATAATTTGACATTTGTTTGGTTTAAGATTTTTATATCTTTTGTCAAACGAAGTTGGGGAAGGAATATAGTGTTTCATCTGTCCGTTACAAAGTAAAAGTCCATCTATCTGTGGAAGTATTAGTCATAGTTCATGAGATTTTGTTCATAGATGCGTCTTGAATAATCAAGGGGTCCTGATAAAAATAAGGTCATCTTGACCTACATTTCATATATGAATGACTGATTAAAGTTTGCGTTAGAGTCCATTTCTGAGATACAACTCGTAGAGAAATAATATTTTGTCAGCAGATGCATCTTTTATAGTCAGGAGGGCTCTAAAAATAAGTCATCTTAAAATAAAATTCATTGATGAGAAAATGATGTGAAAGGCTGCGTTAAAGTGCATATCTGAGATGAGGAATACAAATATTTTGTCAGTAGATGCAACTTTGATAGTCACGAGTTTCAAAATCAAGACTTGAAAATGAATTAAATGATATTCCATTTCATCAACTGCACTTAAATGATATTCGATTTCATCAACTGCACAATTTAGTTATATTTCATAGCATTGTCATAACTTATTGGATTGGGAACAGTTCTGGCAATTGAGGATTCAAGTCAACTCAATATACAGAATCTTTATATAAGAATTTTGCACTTTTTTACACCAAAAACCTCCATACCTCCGGCCCAAAGATTTGGTGCGTGCACCAATTTACTCTCTTGTGCTTATAGTTGTGTGTCTTAGAAAGCCTTCTGTCATATATCTGAAAACACCGATATGCATTTTATCGCAACATACCGTAGCTAGATAAATGAACAAATCTAAAGATCCGATTGGTCAGATACCATGATGCTTAAGGTCAGCGTTTACTTTGAAAAGACTTGCTTGAAATATTTTTCGTTTTAAGATCAATTGTTTAAAAAAAAGTTAAAAGTTGAAAGTATTAATCGTAGGTATATTCATGGTAAATGAATATTAAGACTAGAAAAAGTGGGGAACATCAGGTTTTATTCAGTGAAACCGACCGTTCAAAACCCTCGTGGGTAGTTCAAGGTCGTTAAAAACCACCCTCATCATCATTCAGAGAAAAGTGTAAATTAAAAAAATCAGATGTAAGAACACACGAAACAATTTAAATTCTTAAAATATCGTTATTTTATATGATATAATTCAACATGATATAAGGCATCCCATGATATGCTTTATTCTGATAAACCTTTGTAGTAACAATAGTTTACAGACGAACATAAACATAATATAAAAATAAAAATATACATATCTTTAGGTATCATCAAATAGGTAGTAACATTACCAAATGCATTACATGCAATGTAGAAAAAGACAAAACTAAAATTAATCCTGTTTGTAATTCTTACTGTTTTTTCTCCTATGTTTCTCTGTTTACTCTTGGATAAGCGTTATTACACTTGCCATCGTTATGCTACATTTTCTACATTCATATCGCTATTAGCACTTTATTAATACTTGGAATCATATAGCAGAACCAAGTTGTACGTATTACTTGTATTTCTTAGTTTTTAATTTTATATAAAACACATTTTGCTAATTCATATGTATAATTTTTTTCAGGAATGAAAATAAAGGAACAGAAACGACGGAAATAAAGTAAACTGTTACAGAGACTAAACCACAGCTGATTTTAAATATGGATATATGACTTATTCATATTAAGTACATGTCTCAAACCAAGTAGGAAGCCTCACATCTCCGAAAAGTATCTGCCTACCATTTTTATTCCTGACTGAGAGGGTTAATCTTTGAAGCTTCTTTTGTTAATAAATAAAACAACAAAACAAGCGAACCAATTATTTTCTTTTACATAAAGAATAGAAATTAAGAGTATCTTATTTGTAACACAAACATATGCACACACATATATAGTTCTGAAAACCCTTGTAATTAATCGCCCCCTTCATTTAAGTTCATAGTGTTAAACGTCTCTTGACCCAAGGGTTGACTGGCGTATAGAAAAAACAAAACAAATGGCTTTCCATTGAGGCGAAATCCGTTTTGGAGAACGCGTTCGATGTCACGTTGGTAAATAAAATTGAATTTTAATTTACATCATATGACGACAATAAATTTCATATTGCCGTAAATGGATATATTTTTACAAAGCTATTTTTCAAAACTTGACTGATCTCTTTTAGATAGCACTATTTGCACATGGAAAAAGTTCCAAACTCGAAACCATCTTTTCAGTTGCAATGTTACTGTGACTTGACTGTAAAGGCAACGGTAGTATACCGCTGTTCAAGGGTCATAAACCAATTGAGAGAAAACAAATCCGGGTTACAAACTAAAACCGAGGGACACACATTAAATATAAGAGGAAAACAACGGAACAACAGAAACACTGAAGTGCAACAAAAACAAACGCCAACATACATAGAAACGAACTATTTGATAACAGCTGCCATATTCCTGTTAGTGTTGATCTCCACCTATTGCAGTTTATTCAAAATTCTGACCAAATTGCAATTATTTTATCACACCGAACTGTTCAATTGGTCAGAAATTTTTACAAACTGCTGTAGAAAAACATTACTACCTATCACCTTTTGCATGACAATTACAATTAAATTTGTATAAAAATTGTTAGACATATATTTCATAATATCAATGAAGTGGAATTAAAGTCTTATAAGATTGTAAGTATACTTTATTTTATCACCTTGCATTTTCACCACTAGACTGTATTTTTCTACAGCATTTTGTTAAAATTTCTGACCAGTTGAACAGTTTGGTTTGATAAAACAAATTGCAATTGGTCAGAATTTAGAATAAACTGCAATAGGTGGAGAGGCTGAGCAACACTTAAAGTCAAGTCACGTTAAAAGTTAAGAATAATAAAAATAAAACAAGTATTACAACATATATTTGTATACTTCAACGATACGGCAAGCAACCGATAAAAGTAATCTATTTAAGTGTGTTCAAGAACATATAAAGTTAAGTTTGCTTGTAAATAAGGTTGGCCATAAAACTACTGTTACCTTTATAAACTACCTTTTGACAGAAAATTGATAAACTAACTGCTGCTTTCTGATATTAAAGTACCATTATGTTATACTTTTATTGGGGACGAAAACAAATGAATGATAAATCTAACAGGTAGGTTCCATATAATGCGTCCTCTCGGATGCCGGTTGGGTATTTTGGACTGTCAAAAGAAAATATTCTATGTTTTATCGGTGCAAAACAATTACCTTGCTACAGGTCACCTGCATTACCCTAAACGTGTTGTTTTATAGGTTCTTTAACAGATGTTACTGTCAAGAAATCATATAAAAAATCAGACGCACAACATCTTAACTTTTTAGATAATAATTTAATTCATGTTTAAGATTTACAAATATGTTTTATAAAGAATGTTTATATCTAAAACACCATTTACCAACAAATATAGGAAAAAAGAAAGCCAGTGAAAGTCGCTAAACCTTAGTGATGATCATAAGTTATGATAAAGCAAGGCTGTCACAGGTAGGAGACTTATACAAAGAGGCATAACAGACGCTTTCCTACACCTACGCACAATATTGCTAAACGGTACTGTTTATTGTCATAGAACAGAAAGAGAAATTATATAGAGATGTATAATTATCTTGAATTTTATATATACCGCGTTATTTTAATTTTTCAATTTTGTTTGCATGAAGACCATTTTTCATTACTTCAAATGGTTATGCTGTCAAATATTTCACTGAATACATTGTAATATTCTTCGGCAATTACAAAGGGCATGGCATCAGACGATAATTGACTGGTTATAATCATGGGAAAGTTGACATTTTATTTTGTTTATTAAAATTCCTATCATAAAAAACAATTAACACAATATTTCAATCCTTAAAACTAAAGAATGGTAGTTCTAATAATAATTATTAAAAGTGCTAATATAAAATAGTCGGTAGTTGTCAACTTATATAAGTTATTGTTTGAATTTCAATTTATCATGTAGCATGTTCTTCAGAAAATGTCTGTACCAAGTAAGGATATGACAGCTGTTTTCTATTTGTTACTTTGTTTGATAAAGTCGAACGTTTCATTAGGGTCCCGCCTAGTGGCGGGTTGCCCTATAGTGATCAGTCTGTCCGTCCGTCCGTAACAAATTGTGTCCGCTCTCTATCTAGAGAACCGTTATAATTTCATACTTTATACTTGACATGTATATTAACCAATACCAGAGGGTGTGTCATAATGTTTGTACAAGACAACTTCTTAGGTCAAAGTTCAATGTTAGCGGGGCCCACAGAGATGGCTCTCATCTCAATGATGTCTAGTTTTGTTAGTTTTTATGAACTTCTCCCTCTTTTAATTAACCTTGGAGTTTTTTTAAAAAACATTTTAATAACATATACAAATAAGAGAACAAAATAAATTGAATCCCAAAAATTAGTCTATATATATAAATGATAAAACTAAAAATCAAACTCACTCATTGGTTAAATTTCATCAGTGTACAGCTAAACGTTTAAAAAGTTATATAATGCTGTGAGCAAGGAAACAAAAAAGTATTGATAGTATAAATGGTATTTCACCAATCGTTTACTTTCTGTATATTCAAGAACAAACATTAATGCATTCAGTACTTCTTAAACTAAGGTAGGTTGTACATGAAGTTCAACGTACTTATCTAAATGTTTTCTTCACGACCAATATTCTCTCATAAGGTATGGGAACTGTCACCGACAAGTATTGCATAGCTAAACCTTAACACACGATTTGCATCAACCTTCGACAAGTAGAACATTTATTAAAAAAACAAATGTACTCTTTAATCCCTTCATTTGTGTATTCTAACACAATAACATAGGGACTTTCCGTTTTGAATTTTTCTTGGAGTTCGGTATTTTTGTTGTTTTACTTTTTATAGAAAAGAAGACAATCTTAGGACTTTACACATAACATACGAACAAGGCTGAAAAAAGCAGAAATACTTGAAACGAAATTTGAAAAATTTAAAAAATTTTTGGCTATCCTGCAAATTATAGATTTATCAGCAAATCAGGTTAATTTGATGAAAATAAAACATTTTGTTATTGAAATTTGATAAAACGCTGATATATAAACATAAATTCAAATGTAACAGAAGGAGTAAGCTTAACAATATTCCACTACAAACACTTTTCGAAGATTGAAATGCTAGCAATATAAATAAAAACGTTTTGACTGTCCTCAGATCAATTTGCACGAAAAGCAAATTGTATCATATTTCGTTGATTTCTTGGATGAGCAGATTCAAGTATTCCAACTGAAAGTATAATTATAAATGCTATCTTTTAATTGCAATGAAGATTTCCAAAAATACTTAAGTTTTTTTTTTTATAGTTAATACGGATTTCATATGACCTGACCTGAAGTTCATGGCCATATTTGTCTTCTTGTCTGATTCATGACACTAACTGCGGGTTTTCCAATAAAAGGTGATAATTAAGAGGATCTCTTGGGAAAAAAAACTCTAGTGATATTTGAAATTCGCCAAATACATGCAACAAAAATAATCACTACATAAAGGTAGCCTAATAAAATCAACATATCCTCTGTGATTTTTATGAATGGAAATCTATGTCTTTTTCATTCATAAAATTACTTCATTCATTTTCTGTAATGAATGAAACATTTTTTTTCTAAAGTAGCAATACATTGATTGAACATCATTGTCAATGGCAACACAATTTCCCTGAAATCGATCGAGAACGTCCACTGGAAAAACCTTTCTCCATTCATAAATTATGACTAAGTTAATGAAAACTAATCAATACAATGTACACTAACTCAATATCCGTTATATGTACTATTGCGACACATTTCTTTTCTGGTTACATCAAATTCAAAGGATGTTTTTGAAAATAAATAAGTAAATGCAAAATAAAATATCTTAATAATCATTTCAAAACTAAAAAAAAACAAAAGTCTGTATGTGCCAAAAGTATGAGAAATGAGTGTTGTCAAACTAAATACAAATATCGCTTAATTACTATGAAATTTGATAATAAAACGTCACATACTTATACAAATAATAAATGCACATTCTGAAATGCAAATTTAAATTCATGAAAGTCAAAGTAAAAAAAAACAAAAGCGAAAGGATTTCAAAAAAGAAAGACATTTAATAACTCCTCTATGTTTTGATAATTTAGACAGAAATAAGGTCGATTGAAAAAGTTTTAAGAATAATAGAAAAAGACGATAGTTCCAGCTTCAGTCGTTATTCGTTTTTTTAGCTCTCCTGTATGATAAAAATAGAAAATCGCCTAAGATTGTTTTAAAAAGTAAAAGATAATCACACTATTATGTACGATTAAGCAAGTATTATATCTAAAAATGGCTATTTGCTCAAAATATCGCTAGTATAACGAGCTTCTGAAATAATGTATTGTGTATAAACAAGAATGAATATTAGTGTGCTTTGAACAGCATGTCATATAACTTGGTACATGTGATTATTTCCAGTTACAATAAAAACACTCATAGAATAAGAATATTTATTGTACCAATTAACGGCCCTTGATGGGCAGCATGACATTTATACACACAAAATAATATCTTATGCTTTTGTAAAAACAGTTCATACGAATAAACAATGTAACCATATAAATATCACATACTTTAAATGGGCTTTGGTGTACCCATTTTTAAATTAAAAATAATATTGTTTTATATCACTATTTCATAATCAAACATTTCCTCTATATTTATTTTTTATTTCTAATAAAATTTTTAAGACTGAGTTGTTAAAAGAGACACGCTAGATTTTTTTGGCTTCAAGGTTAATTTCGTCAATTAAGTCGTTGAAAAAAATATTAAAGATGTGTTAATCGTAGTCAAGAACAT